GGTCTCTTTCTGTGTCCTATGAGTCCTGTTGCCTGGGATGCGTCCCCCTCTCCCTTCCAATGGTGGGCTCTGGGTCTTCGGTTTAAAGGTCCCCTTGCTGACAAGGTCTACCTTGCTGGCGGCCTGCCTGAAGCCCCTCTGGAAATTTCCCAGGCTTGTGAGCTTCATGAAGTCCAGGACCTCTGCTTTGTTCACTGCTGTGTCCTCTGGGGCCTGGAACAGTGTTAGGAACACATTGTCTCTCATGAACTGTTTTGCCGAGTAATTGAATGAGCGGTTCATGTCATGTCCTGATGTGTGTCTGTCCTAGAACGTAGCATTTTTGTCGTTAGCTTGACTGCTTCCTGGTGTGTGGTCAGATTCCCTTACGAGCCATCAGCTTGGGGAGGATGGAGAGTACCTCTGTCTCATTCACCTTCCAGCAGCCAAGGGCAGGCCTGGCGTGTGGTTAAAAGGAAGTGAGTTTTGGGGCCCGATGACCAGGATTCAAATCCCAGGTCTCCTGCTCACCTGCTAAGCCTCTCTATGCCTCAGTTTCCACATATGCACAAAGGGACAATAATAGCCTCTAAGTGTTAATATTGGTTAAAATGTTTAGGAGAGGGCCCGGGTGAGAATGTACCTTGTAAATGTCAGTGTTGTTAGTGCTGGGAAAATGTTTGGGATTTCAAGCTTGGGGGAATCTGTACGTAGAATGCAGATTTTCTCTCTGAGTGGCAAAATCCTTGCTAAGGACAGGTGGAGATGATCGGAGAGGCCCAGGAGATCTTAGAACCAGGCTGCTGAAGAAACCCGACCCCTCCTTCCCCTCTCTGTTCTCTTGGAAAAGGCCAGTTGCTAGCATGCCTAGCATTTCTGCTCTTCACAGCTTTCCACCTTTCTTTCTCTGCATTGGCCCTATTTTTTTTTTTCCCCACAGCACGGCTTGGAATCTCGACGGGCTAACTTGCAGCTGGGGTGTGGGAGCCAGCGCTTCCATTTAGGAAGCAGCCGGTCCTGGAATGCCGTGGCGGGGCTGCCAGGCTTGCTCCTGGGCCGAGCCAGCCAGGAATGCACTTTGCAGCTTACACAAGGCCGGGCCTTGGGTCCATGGAATTTCTCCTTGCCAAGGTTGGGTTTGCGGTACTGGTGGACAAGAGTGAGGGTGTGAGGACGGAGTGCAGAGTGACAGGGAGAGGTATCTTCTATCCACTGATTTACTTCCCCAGTGCTTGCAACAGCCAGGACTGGGCCAGGCCAAAGCCGGGCGCCTGGAACTCCATCCGGGTATCCATGGGGGTGACAGGGACTCAGTACTTGAGCCTCAGTGTGTGCATCAGCAGGAAGCTGGATCACAAGTGGAGGTGGGACTCATCCCAGGCCCCCAGTGTGAGATATGGGGGTCTCAAGTAGCAGCTGCAACTCCACTTTTCACTTTTTTTTTTTTAATATTTATTTATTTGAGAGAGAGGTCTTCTGTCCACTGGTTCACTCCCCAGATGGCTGCAACGGCCAGAACTGGGCCAATCCGTGGTGCAGGGGCCCAAGGACTTGGGCCATCTTCTGCTGCTTTCCCAGGCCGTAGCAGAGAGCTGGATTGGAAGTGGAGCAGCCGGGACTGGAACCCCACTTTCACTTCAGCGCCGCCACTCTGGCCGCAGTCTGAGGGCTGGGTTATCAAGGGCTGGGCCAGGGCCCAGTGAGCAGGCGCTGGGGGCATCTGTTTGCATGAGGCTGGTGTGAGGAGGGAGGGGTGAGTCAGGATGAGGCAGCAGAGGGCAGGCTTCATGTTCCCCGGGCCCCATGCACAGAACACAGTACCGGATGTGTGGCCGGGAGACCTCACGTAAGAGCAGCTTTGGGGGGGACCTGGGCTGTTCCCTGGGCTATCTTGGAGGTGGAGTGATTTCTCAGGATGAGACTGGCAGAGCCCAGGCGAAGTGAGGGGTGGGGAGCGCCAGGCAGGGTTGGTTTGGCCTCCACATCTAAGTTAGTGCTGAATTTCAGTCTTCAAGGAGTTCACAGACGCAGCTGGGTTTCCAGCTTTTCCTGAGACATTAGGGTCTCTGGCGGTGCTCGTGGGCCCGCCTTCCTGCCCAGGAACTGTCTGCGGAGCTGAGACGTGGCCACCACCTCTGCACTCACCGGAGTGCTCACCAGGCCTCTGTGACTTTCCTGCCTGGTTGTGAGGGCATCTGAGCTGGCCCTGCCTCCCCTGTGGGAGGCCCAGGCAGTGAGGGGAGAAGACTCAGAAAGGCAGGTGCAGGTGCAGGTGGTCCCCTGGGAGCCAGAGAGGCAGGGATGCCCCGTCCAGCAAGATCAGCGTGGCAGGTGCACAGACGTGGACAGGTAGGAGACGACCAGGTGTGCAGCAGGCTGCTTGCTTCCCTGAAGAGAGGGCTGCATGGGGTTGCTAATGCCGGAGGGCTGGAGAGACAGGTTTTATGAGGAAGGAGGTCTGGGAGAAAGGGAGGGGGCGGGGTGGGCGGCAGCTCCTAGAGCAGCTGAAGATTTAGGGTCCAGAGGGCGGGTGAAGGCCACGGGGCCTGGGAGACCCAGGCTGCTCCGTGAAGGGGACCTGTGATGTCCGGGCTGGCTGCCTGCTGGCTGCGTCCCTGGGAGTGCTGGCCAGGGAACGCCCTGGAATGGAGCCAGGCCTTCCCTGGTGTTGCTAGTCACTCCGTCCCTCCCCAACCCTCCCCCGTCTGCCGAGCACCTGCTCTCCCGCTGCAGGGTCCCCGGTTTTAGTAACCCCAGATGTCTGCAAAGCAGCATTCCTCGGGTGTCTCCTTAAGGCCTTTGCTGAAATGTCAGCCTGTTTGTGGGGCCTTCCTGGCACCCCATTTAAAGATCACATACCCTACCCCAGGGGTGGGCGTTTGGCCTCCTGGTTCAGTTGCCCACTTTAGACATCACAGCGCCTGGATTCAAGAACTGGCCCTGGCTCCTGACTCGAGCAATTTGCTAACGCAGACCCTGGGAGGCTCATGTAGTTTGGTTTCTGCCACCCTCCAGCCACTCCCGTGGGAGACCTGGATTGGGTTTCCGGCTCCTGGCCCCAGTCCTCGCCACTCCTCACTGGGGGAGTGAACTGGTGGGTAGGAGCGCTCACTCTCTCAAGTGAAAAAATAAAAGTTAAAGCCACTGCACACTCTGTGCATGTTTTTTTTTTTTTAAATAAAGATTTACTTGAAAGTAAAGAGTTACACAGAGAAGGAAAGGCAGAGAGAGAGAGAGAGAGATTGTCTTCCATCCACTGGTTCACTTCCCAGCTGGCCGCAATGGCCGGAGCTGTGCTGATCGGCAACCAGGAGCCAGGAGCTTCTTCTGGGTCTCCCACACAGGTGCAGGGGCCCAAGCACTTGGGCCATCTTCCACTGCCTTCCAGGCCATAGCAGGGAGCTGGATTGGAAGCAGAGCAGCTGGAACTCAAACCAGTGTCCATATGGGATGCCGGCACTGCAGGCAGTGGCCTTACCCGCTAGGCCACAGCACCGGCCCCTCGGCCCCTCGTGTGTGTGTGTATGTATGTGTGTGTGTGTGTGTGTGTGTGTTTTGACAAGCAGAGTGGACAGTGAGAGAGAGAGACAGAGAGAAAGGTCTTCCTTTGCCGTTGGTTCACCCTCCAATGGCCGCCGTGGCCGGTGCACTGTGGCCAGCGCACTGCGGCCGGCGCATCGTGCTGATCCGAAGCCAGGAGCCAGGTGCAGGTGGTCTCCTGTGCAGGTGCAGGGACTAGGACTTGGGCCATCCTCCACTGCACTCCTGGGCCACAGCAGAGAGCTGGCCTGGAAGAAGGGCAACCGGGACAGAATCCGGCGCCCCGACCGGGACTAGAACCCGGTGTGCCGGCGCCGCAAGATGGAGGATTAGCCTAGTGAGCCGCGGTGCCGGCCTCCCTCTTGAGTGTTTTTAATCAGCCTCACCTACCTCCGAAGCACTTGTTCACACCTGACGTGGTGTGCAGCTGCCATTGGCGGAGTGTCCGGCGTGTGGGCCCCTGAGGGCAGGGACGCGCGTGCGCTGTGGACTGGCCAGGCGCCAGGCATCATTGTGGGCACTGACAGCCAAGAGTGGAGGCACCTGGTGGTGACTGCCGCAGGCTGTTTGTCATTCTGTGTGTCTGGGCCAGGAAAGATGCATTTGTTTTTTCTTTTGAAGAATATAGGACTTGGTCCACAGAGAGCAAAAAGGATTTTCCTTCAGGTTGAGAGCAGATCACAGATAAAGGGGCTTAGATTACCTTTCTCGGTCTGAATACGAGAGCGCTTCAGAAAGTGTGGGAAAATGGAAGTAGCGGTAGGTCTGGGGTGAGCGTGGTGCCGTGGCTGAGGTGCCGGCTGAGACGTCCACATCCCGCGTGGACGTCGCGGGTGAGTCCCGGCTCTGCTGCTGGGTCCAGCTTCCTGCTGACGCTGCGAGGCCATGGTGGTGGCTCAAGTCCCCAGCCCCCTGCTATCTGGCGCAAAACCAGATTGAGTGCCCAGCTCCTGCTTCCGCGTGGTCCTGCCCTGGCTGCCGTGGGCACCTGGGAGTGAGCCAGCCGAGGGGAGATCTCTGTCCGTCTGCTTTTCGGATTTAAAACGAGATCAATTTATTTTGGCACAAAAATTTTGAAGTGCACGTGTGGTGTTTCCATCTTGCACGCGTCCCATGAGCTTTCCTGCGCGTGGATTCCGAAATTGTTTTGCACCATGACAAGCTTACCTTTCCGTTTCTTTTTTCCACAAACCTTTTGTAGCACGTTGTATGTCGGAATAGCTAAGACGTAGGGCTTCCGTTAGCTCTGACTCTGTCTCAGTGCTCCATGAAGCTCTCCACACCCTCAGACGCCAGCCAATGGCAAACCCGAAGCAGCAGGGACCCCTGAGGGCCCATGCTGGTCATTACCCACCGAGTGACGTCAGCCTGGGGGATCAGGTGGCCTGAGTCAGGCGGGGGACAGCCTCAGCCCTGGGCACGGGCTGCACGTCTGCCTCAGCATCTAGGGCACTAACCACTGCTCCCTCCTCCTCTCCTAGGCATTTGCATCAAGTGTGGGCTTGGCATCTACGGAGCGAGGCAGGCGTGCCAGGCCATGGGGAGCCTGTACCACACCGACTGCTTCACCTGTGACTCCTGTGGTAGGTGGCCTCTACCCCAGGCCCTTTGCATGCCTTGTACTGCATTCCCACGCACAGGCACCAGGAGACCCCTGGGGCCTGGAGAGGGAGCTGCCGGGCCACTGCGGAGCCCTTAGCTGGCTGCCCCGGGGACCGGCTGCCTTGCTGGTCATCAGCTTGGGCACCTGCGTCCTGTCTCTGCAGGGTGCTGATGTCACTCGGCTGCTTGGGAGGGGTGGGAGCCGGTGAGGACCTTGTGCCTGGACACGCAGAGGGCTGGGACTCCTTTTTCCTGCAATTAGTCTTTTCCTCCCAATGTTAGACACAATGTAAGCTGAAAATGTGGTCATTTAACCTGGACAAAATAATAAAAAGTAAAGAAGCAGCCACGATCCCAAATCCCCCGTGGATTTCCCCACTGTTGCTGCAGGCCCGGCGCCCCAGGGGCGTGTTTAGCTATCTGAGTGAAGCACTGTGACGTTCTGTGCCGTGGAAGGCACCGCTGCAGGTTTCTCTCCGATACCCGGCTCTCTAATCAGCAGATCCGCACTTCTGCTGTGTGGGTTTCAGACATCTGCTTCCCTCTGGCCCTATGGAATCCCGTGTCTCATGTGGGCCGTGACGGCAACTTTGTAAACAGTGTTCCGCGCCGGGCCAGGAATCTGCGTCATTCCGCGTTTTCCGCAGTCTGCGGCTTTCCTTTGAGTTTCCCTCCTTGCACACCTTGCTCTGTCGTATCTTCCGGCTGCTTGCCCTCAGCTGTCCGGCTGTGTCAGGTGTTCTTCCAGGCCCCTGCGTGGGGGACAGACGATGCTGACCCTCTGTGCTGCCGCGCCTGCACCTGTAGTTTTGAATGTGAAAGTCTAATTTGTTTCAGGTTTATGGTGAGAATACATCTCCTAGGGGAGTGCTTTGTCTTTGTCTTTTGCTTTTCTTCTTTTTTTTTATTTGAAAAGCCAAAGTTACAGAGGGAGAGAGAGAGAGAGGTCCTCCATTTGCTGGTTCATTCCCCAGATGAGTGCAACAGCCAGGGCTGGGCCAGGCTGAAGCCAGGAGCCTGGAACTCCATCCAGGTCTCCCATGTGGGTGCAGGGGCCCAAACACTTGGGCCATCTTCCACTGCTTTCCCAGGCGCATTAGCAGGGAGCTGGATGGGAAATGGAGCAGCCAGGACTCAAAGTGGTACTCATATGGGATGCCAGTGTCACAAGCAGAGACTTAACCCCCTGTACCACCGTGCCAGCCCCTTTCTCCCCCAACCCCTTCCACAGTCAAAGAGAGGGAGGGGCCGGTGCTGTGGCTTAGTGGGTAAAGCTGCAGTGCAGTTGAGACCCGGCTGCTCCTCTTCCGATCCAGCTCTCTGCTGTGGCCTGGAAAGCACTAGAAGATGGCCCAAGTCTTGGGCCCCTGCACCCATGTGGGAGACCCGGAAGAAGCTCCTGGCTTTGGATCAGTCCAGCTCCAGCCATTGCGGCCATCTGGGGAGTGAACCAGCAGATGGAAGACTTATCTCTCTCTCTCTGCTTCTGCCTCTCTGTAACTCTACCTTTCAAATAGATAAATAAATCTTTAAAAAAAAAAAAAAGAGGGTGGGAGAGACAAGGAATACTTTAAAAATTTTAAAGAAAGTTTTAAGTTTCTCTTAATAACAGTTAAATTGTGATAATTACATATTGTATACATGTACTGGGTTATAATATTGTAGCTCCCCCGCTAAAAATACTGTAGCCCATCAGTAAGTTCAAATAAAGTATCAGTTAGAAAATCAAAATAAAAAAATTAAATTGAGGCAATTCAGACGCTGAATGGGATCCGATATCTGTGTTCTGCGGGCGCTCCTACACGCTCGGGGCCTTGTGTCCCTGCCGCGTGTGTGGTCATCGGTGTTCTGCGGGCACTCTCACACTCTCGGGGCCTTGTGTCCCTGCCGCATGTGTGGTCATTGGTGTTCTGTGTGCTGCACACCGTGTCCCAGTTTTGTCCAGGTCAGGTCCCCTCAAGTTGACTCCTGTGCCCTTCTGGTTTGCCCCCTTCAGTCTTTGAGTGCTTCTGTATTCTCGGCACAAGATGTTCCTGTTCCTGATCTGTTTTCTTTCCTTCTTTTTAAAAGACTTACTTAAACTCTATCTATGTATGTATCTATCTAATCTAAGTGACAGAGAGAGAGAGAGAGAGAGAGAGAACTTCCATCCACTGGTTCACTCCCTAAATGGCTGTGACAGCCAGGGCTGGCCCAGGCTCCATCCAGGTCTCCCATGTGGGTGGCAGGCACCCAGGCGCTTGGACCATCTTTTGCTGCTTTGCCAGGCGCATTAGCAGGGAGCCAGCACTTGAACCAGCAGTGCAGTATGGGATCCTGGCATCGCAAATGTGGCTTAGCCCACTCCATGGTGCTGGCCCCTCCAGTTGCTCTTTGTCTTTAAACACTCAGGTGACACCCACCTTGCCCCCGTAAGTGGACCCCCCGCCATGGCTGCCCAGCTTGCGAAGTGACTTCTCACCCTGCAGGGTCGAGTTGCCGGTTCGGGAACTTGATCTGGACGTGTTTCCCTAGTCTGCTCCTTGGGGCTGGTCGGCTCTGCCCGCGCTGCTGCAGGTGTCGGCAGCTCCCCCTCGATACTGCTGACTAGAGATGCATCCGGAGAACGGGCCGTCGTCGGGCGTGGATACTCAGGATCCCAGATGGGGCTGTGAGGCTTTCTTGTGGAGCTCCTCTTTGGACGCGTGTTTTCATTTCTCTTGGGTAAAGCCCGAGGAGTGGAATTTCTGGGTCAGAGGGGCGAATGTATGTTTTTTTACTTTCCCAATGGATGCGAGCGGGAGTTGAGTTGTCCCACATATTTCCCAACGATCAGATATTTCAGTCTTTTTAATTTTAGCCATTCTAATGGGTAGAAGGGGATTGTGGTTATAATTTGCATTTCCCTGGTGACTTGCGAGTGCTAAGTGTTTCTGTTTACTTCCTGCCAGGCCTCACACATCTTCCTCTGTGAAGTCAGATGGAGGCTTTTGCCCATTTTTTTTTTTAATTGGGGTTATTTGTCTTTCAGTTACTGAGGCGGAGGAACTTACACACACCCCTATGTCCATGCATAATTTTCATAATTGTCATTTTCCACAAACTTTTTGAAGTTCTCTTGTATATTCTGAGTACAAATTGTCTGTCAAATGTATGTTTTGTGAATATTTTTCCCTAGTCTGATTTTAAAAAGTGTTTCTAAAGGTGAGAAATATAATTTCTTCCTTTTTTTGTTTAAAGATTTATTTAATTATTTGGAAGAGTTACAGAGAGGGAGAGGCAGAGACAGAGAGGTCTTCCATCCATTGGTCCACTCCCTGAATGGCCGCAATGGCCAGGACTGGCAAGGCCCAAAACCAGGAGCCAGGAGCTTCTTCCAGGTCTCCCATGTGGGTGCAGGGGCCCAAGCACTTGAGCCATCTTCCTCTGCTTTCCCAAGCATATTAGCAGGGAGCTAGATGGGAAGTGGAGCAGCCAGGACTCGAACCGGCGTCCATAGGGGATGCTGGCACTGCAGGCAGTGGCTTTACCCACTACACCACAGTGCTAGCCCCAGTTTCTTTTTTTAAGATTATTTTTATTTGATTTTAAAGACAGAGTTGCAGAGAGAGAGAAAGAGATCTTCCGTTCGCTGGGGCTGGGCCAGGCTGGCTGAAATCAGGAGGTTTTTCCGGGTCTCCTACCTGGGTGCAGGGGCCCAAGCACATGGGCCATATTCTGCTGCTTTCCCAGGCGCATTAGCAGGGAGCTGAATTGGAGGTGGAGCAGCCGGGACTGGAACTGGCGCTGAGCCACGATGCCGGCCCCTCCGTGTCCATCTGGAAGGCAGCTCCTCCTAGATGCGCTTCCTGCCATGGTTCTCCCTTGTGTTCTCTCATGGGTCGTGCATTGTTTCTTGAAATGTTTATTATTATAAACCACATTGCATCACGCAGCTTCTCTGCCGGGGAGCGGGGAGCATGCGGAGAGAAGGGAGCCGGGCTTCTCCCATGGCTGCAGCTCCAGGCCCCCTCTGACCCGTCCCTGCAGGGCGCCGGCTCCGCGGGAAGGCCTTCTACAGCGTGGGCGAGAAGGTGTACTGCCAGGAGGACTTCCTGGTGAGTCCGCGCCCTGCCCGCGGGAGCAGGGGGGCAGGTGCTGGCCGGGCAGCGAGAGCCCCCTGGTCACACGCCACCCGGCTCCTGTGTCCCTCCCAGTACTCCGGGTTCCAGCAAACGGCTGACAAGTGCAGCGTGTGTGGACACCTCATCATGGAGATGGTGAGACCCTCCCCGGCCTCCCAGAGCCCCTGGGCCGCGGGCAGAGCTGGGGAGCTGAGCGGAGCCTGCCTCCCAGGCTGACCTGGCAGCGCCTCCACCCCCAGATCCTGCAGGCCCTGGGCAAGTCCTACCACCCGGGCTGCTTCCGGTGCTCCGTGTGCAACGAGTGCCTGGACGGGTGCCCTTCACGGTGGAGCGCGGAGAGCAACATCTACTGAGTCAGGGACTACCACACGTGAGGTCGCGGGCACCACGGCCCTGCTGTCCGTCCTGGCCTCTTCCCTCCTGCCCCCCCCCCAGGCACTGTGCTCGGGCGGGCCCAGAGCCCCTGTCTCGGTGCTTCAGCCCAGCCTCCTTGAGGTGGGGGCCTCCTGCCTGCCCTTCCCTGCCCTGCCCGCTCCAGGAGCCGGGCCGGGCCTCTTCTGCCTGAGGAGGGGGTGGGGGCGATGCCTCTGCAGACCCTTTCTCTTGCCGTCTGCTGCCCAGCTAGGCAGCTGACCCACCTCCCTGGCCGTGGCTCCGGGCTCTGATCCTGGGATGCTGTCTGGTAAAGGGTTAGAGTCAGGCACACAGCCTGGTAGTCAGGGTGGAGGCAGGTCTGGCAGGCATCGGGGGCAAGGATCACGTGGGAAGCATGAGGGAGACAGGTGGCCATCCTGGAGGAGGTGAGGGGCCCAGGTCGACAGGGAGCCAGGGGGAAGGCCAGCACCAAGAAGGCCTGGTGGAAATGGCACCTGCCCACCCACAGGGAGAGTGGGCCTGATGCTCGGCCCTTGTCCCGGGACCACTGTGGGAGGACCTGTCCCTGTGCCCTCTGTCTCTGGTCGCTCAGCCAGTCACTGCTGGTTTCCTTTTTCTTCCAGGGTTTTCGCACCAAAATGTGCCTCCTGTGCCCGTCCTATCCTCCCTGCACAGGTAGGAAGCAGTCGCCGGCCCCAGGTTTTGGGCCACGATGGGAGGGAAGAGCGGCCGCTGTGGCTCTTTAACCTTCAGAGGCATGGGGCGTCCGTTGGGCCCATGCCCGTGGGGGCAGGTGCCCCTGGCATGAGTCAGCAGGACATGGTGGCCTCTGTCACCCAGCACTCCGCCTACCGCCCTCAGCCCCATGCTCCACCACTGGGCTGATCGCTGGGTCTGCTCAGCTGTGCAGGCCGAGGGTGGGGGGCTGCAGATGAGCACGGGGCCGCCTGGGGCTCTGGGTCTCCCCACACATGCTGGTTGTGTCCAGGGAAGCAGGCGTGGACGTAACACGCAGACGCCCACCAGCTCTCACATGGTGCTGTCGGCTGTGACCAGGGAAGGTGCCCCAGGGGCAGGTGCACGCATGGTGTGCGCCTACCAATGCCCGCCAGGCCATGTCAGGGCTCACCTGAGCGTGAATGCCCAGCTGCCTGTTCTGGGACCCCGTTTGCAGCCGTGTGCTCGCACACTGCCGCTCACCCCGAGTCCTGGTGCCTGTTGTGTGTGAACCCGTGTGTCCCCACAGGGCTGTGAACGACCATCCGTGTGGTGTCCATGGACAGGGACTACCATGTGGAGTGTTACCACTGTGAGGTAAGCCTGATGGCCCTGCCCGGCCTCCTCCCTCCGTGGCCCGGGGCTGCCGCCCTCCGCCCCAATCCTCCTCCTGCTCCATGGCATCACCTCCGTCCTGCCTTTCCCTTCCCTTCCCAGCGGGCCCTGTCCCTTCTGCCCGAGTGTGTCCTCTCAGCCCCTGTTTCCTACTCACTGACTGCCCCGTGTGTGAGGCACCGGGACAGCGCAAGAACAGCACCGGCCCCGTAGTCAGGGAAAGCCATGTCCCACGGTGCTGCGTGCTGTTACGGAGGCTGATGGAGCACAGGGGGCCTTGGAAAGCAAGGATGGCTTTCTGGAGGAGGTGACTGACTCAGCTGAGACTGACGGCTGAATAGGAGGGCTGGGGAGGCGGTGAGAAGGGCCTGACTTGGCGGTGTGAAGCAGCAGTCCTGGGGAGGTGTGGTGTCCTGTTGCTGGAGGGGCGTGTAGGAGCTGAGAGGGACTTTGCCCCGGGGCAGGGGAGCACCGTCAGAAAACACCGCAGGATTGCATGTGGATCTCAGAAAAAGGTTCTTACTCCCTGCAGGCACTGAGTCGGAGGAGAGGGCACTGCCGGGGGGGGGGGGGGGGCGTGGTTCTGGGTCAGGGAGGGGTTGGACAGGATCTGGTGAGTGGACGTGGAGGTGGGGGCTAGGGGTGCCCGGTGGGGGGGGGTAGGGGGAGCGGAGGAGGTGCTCGAAAGCTGCGACATCCCAGTTGGGAGGTCTGGGGCTCAGAGACTCCGCTGATGGATTCGGGAGCTTGGGGTCGTGGGCAGGTGGGCCCCTCCCCACTGGCACTACCCCCAGCTCTCGGCAGTCCGGGAAATCCCCGCAGGCGGCAGTCAGGGCAGCTGCACTCTCCTCTCATTGGCTACCTTCTCTTAAAGATGTTGTTTTAAAGATTTAGTTATTTATGTTTTGAAAGGGAAAACAATAGATCAGTCTTCCATCTGTTGTTTCACTCCCCAAATGGCTGCAACGGCTGGGGCTGGCCCAGACAGAAGCCAGGAGCCTGGAACTTCATCCGGGTCTCCCAGTGGGTCATCCTCCACTGCTTTTCCCGGGCCATAGCAGGGAGCCGGAGCAGAAGTGGAGCAGTGGATTTGAGCTGGGGCTCGGATCCGGATGCCGGCGTCCCAGCCGTGGCCCACCGTGTTGTGCTGTGAGGCTGACCCCCACTCTGAGATGACCCCTGCCTCGCTTCCATTGAGCGGCTGAGAGTCACGCGGCTGCTGTTGTCTCATCGCGGAAGGCGGGAGTGACGTCCGCTCCTGCGGCTCCTTCATGGCAGGGTGCAGCTGGGGCGGGGGTCTTCCAGAGAGGGCACGCAGGGGCAGAGGGCCCGGGGTGCCCTGACAACACGGAATTTAGGGACGCTGGAGGAGAGGCGGCCACGGAGAGGACGGCGAGAGGGGTGGGTCACCGAGCCCAGGAGGGAGAGAACCGACGAGGATGCCGGGTGGGTGCAGAGGAGGAGGGTGGGGAACAGCGGGGCTCAGTCCCCCCCGACCCCGTGCAGTCCCGGCCTCTGCGCCTCTGCCCATGCAGCTGTCCTGTGCCTGCCCTGTCCCCTCGGGTGGCCAGGCACACTCCTTTCAAGAGGTTGATGCTGAGGGCCTGGAGCAGCCGGCTGCTGGTGGTGCTGGCGCCCCCCGGGGACCCCTGCGTGGGAGCTGGGGTCTGCAGGCCGCTTTGCCTCTCTGTCCGTGGTCACAGTTTGCAGTCAGGAGAGCCTGGTGGACTTGATGGGCACCCCTGGAGGACCCTCCTTGGGGTGCTCCTCCCCTTCGTCTTCTGCTGCTCCAGGGCTCAGCCGGTGGTCCTTCCCTGCTGAGTTGGGGAACGCCCTGCTTCAGTTAAGGACCCTCGGCGTGGCGGCCTCTTGTCCCCTTTCCCTGCCCGGGCCCGCCCGCAGATGCTGGCTGTGTGCACTCTGTCCAGCCGGGCGTGTGCCCCAGGGCCCTGAGCCTCCCTCGGAGGCGTGGCCGGGGTGTGACAGCCGCAGTCCTCGCTGTGTCCGGGGCTGTGACTGCCCAGCCCTGCGCCCACGAGCCCTCGTCCGCTCCCTCCCCTCGGGGCCCCGGTTGTGCTCTCCCCTAGGACTGCGGGCTGCAGCTGAGCGGGGAGGGGACGCCGCTGCTACCCCCTGGAGGGCCACCTGCTGTGCCGCCGCTGCCACCTGCGGCGCCTCCGGCTGGGCCCGCTGCCCTCGCCCGCAGTGCACGTCACAGAGCTCTGAGCAGGGCTGTGGAGGAAGGGCTGGCCGGGGCCCAGGTCCCTGTCATGGCGGGCCTGGCTGCCTCCACCCCACTGCCCCACACCCCCAGCTGCTGTCCTGTCCGGGGGGCCGGCCCCCGCGGTGAAGCTACTTCTATTATTCACCGTTTGTGCCTCCTCCAGTTGCTTTCCTCTGGGACTGCTGTCTCCCCCCGCCCCCATGGCCGGCTCTCCTGAGACCCCCGCATGCCCCCTGCACATGGGTGACGGGCAGCGGCCTCAGCCCAGCCCCGTGCGCTCCCTGTTCAGAGGGAGCCTGGGCCCTGGATGGATGGCCCTGCATTTCTGGGGTGTCTCTGAAAGCAGGGGGCGGTGGGCGGCACGTGTGTGTGCGCATGTGTGCAGTCGGCTGGCCGTGGGTGCCTTGTTTGGTACTGGGGCCGGCCTGTGGCGCTGTGGGATTCAGCCTTGTCAGCCACAGTTCCCACCCCGCTGCTCACTCCCCTGGCCCCGACTGGGGGGCTGTGCCCCCCCAACGCCTGGCCAAGACGCACCTGCCCCGCAGAGTCCCCGCCGGCCCCGGTCTGGGTCCGGAGGGAGCTCGAGGCCGGGAAAGCCCCCGGCCGTGTGCACTGGGTCCTGGCGCCACAACAAAGGATATCTGACTTAATTAAGTTTCATTAGGAGATTTTCATTTTCTTAAAAAGAATAAGTTTTCTTCTAAGAACTTGGGCCAAGGTTGTTGTTCCTGAAGAAAGCCACGTGCACTCATGAGCGTCCGACTTGTGGGGCCCGTGGCCGACGTGCAGACGGCAAGAAGCCGCGCTCGGTATTTTGTATAAATGCCTCCAAAATCCCGGTGTGTGTCTGCCTCTCAGACTCCAGGCTGCGTGTGTCTGCGCGCGTCACCGCCTCACAGCCATGGCAAATACAGCGCCACTGGGTGCGGGCCCCAAGGGACTTGGCTTGGGCGGGCCCTGGCCGGGGAGCCCTCAGCGTGGTTTCACGGGAATTGTGCCCGAAGTCTGCCCTGCCCCCGTTGTTACGGCTCTTGCCCCCCCCCCCCCGCCGAGGCTGATCTCCAGGGTGCGCAGACACAAGAAGTTCTCCCTTGAGCAAACTGGGTCCTGTCCAGGAGGTGAGCAGGGCTTCAGGAGAGCCCTGGGGGGGGACTGAGCGTGCGTGCAGGAGGGGGTAGCGCAGCTCTGGAGACGGCCTGCTGTGTGGCCATGGGATCCGTGTCCGCCTTGGGAGGGGAGCGTGTTGCACACTTGCCCTGGGGACCGTGCAGACCACAGGGAGCAGGCCTGGGGGACTCCACGATGGGAGAGTGTGACCTGCTGTGGGGTCGGGGGAAGCTCACCAAGTCCCTGGTTTCCGGAGAGACCCCAGGGTGTCTGGGCCCTGGAGGCCCGGCTGCTCTCCTTCCATCCATGTGGCTGCCCTCCAGAAGCCTGGGGTGGTCACAGTGGGCTTCTGCAGCCCTGCGAGAGGCTGGCCCTAGGGGACAGGGTCCCCTGCGCCTCCCGGGGCTGCAGCGCCAGGTCCTGGCACAGCTGGTGTGCGGGGGAAGTGCTCAGCAGGGCTTGTGCCTGGCGCATGCTCACCTGTCCCCCAGCCAATCGTCCCCACCCCCCCCACGCCCCACCCAGTGTGTTCCTCATCTGCTGTGCAGATGTCCCTGCCCGGCTGCTGCAGACTCGGCTGGCTCACAGGGCAGCCCGAGGCGGGCGGGGTCAAGGACCCTTGGGCTCTCCCACCTGAGAGCGCTTTGGGGAGAGGAGCGGCCCGGCCCTGTGGTTTTGGGAGGATGGCGGCACTGTGGGAAAGACGTGGGATTGCACCTTCCTCTCCGTGGGGACAGTGTCTGTGACTGCAGTGGCCACAGCTGGCCCAGCCCCTGCCCAGCATCTGGCTCCGAAGGAGCAGGTGAGTGCTGGTGAGATGACGCTGGCATAGCGGTCACTGGCGAGTGTGGATACACCGCTCAAGCAGGGTGAGCCCCTGCCCCGCCTTTGGAGAATGAGTACGGTGTGTGGTGCCTCTGTGTCCAGCTGGCGTGGCCCTGCGTGGGACGGCGGGGCGTGGTTGCAGAGGGGGACACGGGATCGACACAGGGGCCGCAGTGTGAGGTCCCCGCAGCGGGGCGAGCAGGCCAGCCTGCCTCTGAGTCGGGCCGCTGCTCGAGCTGCAGGCCCTCTCTGCCCAGGGCCCCAGGCACGTCCACGTTGGGCGGGTGCCCAGGGCCTGGTCTTCAGGCCTGCGGAAAGTGGCCTCACTCCTTGCACCTCCTCAGGCATGAGCTCGTTGGCCACGGTTGGCCTGGGCCTCCCTGCCGCCGGCACAGGGGGAGGCTCCCGCGTCACTACCCCTCCCCACACGCTGCACTCCGGAGCCGAACTCCCCCTCCCCGGCCCGTGGAGCCACCGTCTGCTTTTTCTTTTCCAATTTTACATTCACGAATGTCTATACAAGCGCCTCAGAAACCCTGTGGGAAAAAGGCGAAGTAAAAAGACATTTATTTGATGCAAAAAAATTTGAAATCACGTAGTTTTTCATAGCACATGTTTTGTTTTTTTTTTTTTTTTTTTTTTTTTTTTTTTTTTTTTACAGGCAGAGTGGACAGTGAGAGAGACAGAGAGAGAAAGGTCTTCCTTTGCCGTTGGTTCACCCTCCAATGGCCACCGCTGCAGCCGGCGCACCGCGCTGATCCGATGGCAGGAGCCAGGAGCCAGGTGCTTTTCCTGGTCTCCCATGGGGTGCAGGGCCCAAGCACCTGGGCCATCCTCCACTGCACTCCCTGGCCATAGCAGAGAGCTGGCCTGGAAGAGGGGCAACCGGGACAGAATCCGGCGCCCCGACCGGGACTAGAACCCGGTGTGCCGGCGCCGCAAGGTGGAGGATTAGCCTATTGAGCCACGGCGCTGGCTTCCACAAGCTTTTTGAAGACCGGGTATATGCATGGATTTCAAAAACTTGTCTTTTAATTCCACTTTTTATTGTGAAAAGTATTTTAAGACAAATAGAAAACTGAGCAAGTTCACTTAGCAAAGTACACCCCAAAGGAAGTCACAGTACAAAGAACGTTCTAAGTCAGGCCTCACCAATCCCCACAGTATTAGCATCGTGCCACAACTCTCAAAACGGACTTTTCGAAAGCTGGACTTAACCTAAAGATTTCAGGGGCCCGGCGCTGGGCATAGTGGGTTAAGCTGCCGCCTGCCATGCTGGCGTCCCTTATGGGCGTCTGGTTCGAGTCCCAGGTGCTCCACTTCCGATCCAGCTCTCTGCTGTGGCCTTGGGAAAAGCAGTAGAAGATGGCCCAAGTCCTTGGGCCCCTGCACCCACGTGGAGACCCGGAAGAAGCTCCTGGCTCCTGGCTTCAGGTCGGCGCAGTTCCGCTGTTGTGGCCAATTGGGGAGTGAACCAGCAGATGGAAGACCTTCCCTCTCTGCCTCTCCTTCTCTCTCTCTATAACTCTGCCTTTCAAATAAATAATCTTTAAAAAAATAAAATAAAAACCCTAAGATTTTAAATGAAAATAGAAACTAGAATGAACAAACACGAGAGATGTCTCTCTGACTGGGAGATCCAGCACTTTGAGTTCCCAGAAAAGTCTCCCTAAGGCGTGCGTGTGCCGTGGTGTGGCGGGGGACCTCTACATGTTACTTGGGAAAGGCGGGAAATAATTTAGTTTACTCAGAAAAGTCGCATAGAAAACGCTTTAAAGAGGTCATTCTTCAATCCGGATGTCACAAACTTCTGGTGCAGAAGGGTCCCACCAGCTTCCTCGAGGGCAGTAACCTTGCTCTCCCCGGCTCGCTGGCTGCCCTGCTGGAATTTGAATAACTCGAATGCTTTACAACACTGGTCATGCCGCCCTGCTGTTCTGACCACTGTCACCAGCGCCGTGACAGCCACTCAGCGACCAGCTCTCCCTCCGCACGGGTGCCTGCCTGCCTCCCCTGGCTGCCCTCGCTGGGGGTTCAGGAAGGGTTCTGTGTGTGCGTGCTGCCCGCTGGCACCACAGTGCTGCACACTGCCGCCACAGCGCCCTCGTGGGCGGCCAGCTCCACCGTCCCTCTCCCATCCTGGCCGGCTCAGTGTGCACTCTCGGTGGGTTAAGTGCAGAGTCGTGGTTCGTTCTCGGTCGCTGTGTGTGGCAGCCCTCTCGCGTGGACACGGTGGGCCGGGGTACTCGGCACCGCGACCCCACTGTCTGTGTCTGTGGTCGTACATTCCTGAGTGGTGAAGCCGTAGCGACAGCTGCAGCCGCATGGCACCAGTTTCCCTCCGGGCCGTGCCAGCCGCCGCTGAACAGACCTGAGCTTCCGGGAGGATCGACGTGGACCTCGCTCCCGCCTACTGCGCTGGGGCACCCCAGTGCGTCTGCGCCCTGCTCTCTCCTGGGCTTCCCCAGCGCCTTCTCTGCCAGCTCCTGAGAGGCAAACCGCGCCAGGCCTCCCCTTGACCTCGCCCTGGGAGCCACAGGCATCGTGATCCCGTTTGGCAGCATTTCCGACTGCGAGAAAAAACGATTTCTTCCTTTGTGCATGGAACGCGAGTCCCCGAAGCCGCAGGAAGCATCATGAGTGGTGTCGGCGCTGTTTGGACCGCGGTGCCTCACCCAGTCCCACCTCGGCTCTGAGCCTGGGACACCTCAGTGAACCCGTGCCCCGTGCTCGCCCTGTCTCTTCAGGGCCGGTTTACCTCATCTTCTGATTCAAGTTCAACAGACACCTCTCCACTCTGCCCGGCATCTCTAGTGCTGACAAAACCGACACCCGCGAGCGCATCACACACTGTGCAGCCAGGCGTGCTCTGCGATAGGGCAGGACCAGGGCAGGCCACAGAGCCGTAATTCCACTTTCTGTGAACCTGACCGAGACAGAGCGGACTTCCACCCACTGGTTCCGCGCCCCCCCCCTTTTTTTTAGAGAGATTTATTTATTTATTTGAAAGGCAGAGTTACAGAGAAGCAGAGAGAGAGAGAGATCTTCCATCCGGTGGTTCACTTCCCTAAACGGCTGCAATGGCCAGAGCTACGAAGCCAGGAGCAGGTG